ACTGGTACTACTACTGGTACTACTACTGGTACTACTACTGGAACCACAACAGGCACAACCACAGGAACTACTACTGGTACTACTACTGGAACAACCACAGGAACTACTACTGGTACTACAACTGGAACAACCACAGGAACCACTACTGGTACTACCACTGGTACCACCACTGGAACAACAACAGGCACAACAACAGGAACCACTACTGGTACAACTACTGGAACAACAACGGGTACTACTACTGGAACAACAACTGGAACAACCACAGGAACCACTACTGGAACAACAACTGGAACAACAACTGGAACAACCACAGGAACCACTACTGGAACAACAACATCTACAACAGCAACCACAACAGGAACAACAACAACACCTACATACTGTGCTGAAATCATGGATGACAGTAATATTATTCAACCTGATGATATTCTAACATCCAGTGGCATTCCCACAAATATTCTACCTAGTGCAGCAACACCCTGGACAAGTGTAGCAGACACAAATCCTTCAGTTTCTATTACTGTTTCTGAAGATGAAAATGTTCAAATTGACAGAGTTTCATTAGTTTCACCAACCAATATTGCTAGAGTATTAGTTTCTATTTTTGACAAGGACAACAACAACCTAATTGTCAAAAATATTGCTGGAGAAATACAACCTGCTAATGGCTATACACCAGATACTTTACCAGACAAGTTTGCTTTAACATTTGGAACAAAAATTACTTTAACCTTCTACAAAGAAAATTTAGAAAATGCTGTTTCAACAAAGGTTAAAGTTCTTGCTTGTGTTGAGAAAGGTAATTAAAGCATATCTTTTTTCAATTTGTTTAAAAAATGTATTTGTTATTAGAAACAACAACAACAGGCACAACAACAGGAACTACTACTGGTACTACTACTGGTACCACTACTGGAACCACAACAGGCACAACCACAGGAACTACTACTGGTACTACTACTGGAACAACAACTGGAACAACCACAGGAACCACTACTGGTACTACCACTGGTACTACCACTGGAACAACAACAGGCACAACAACAGGAACCACTACTGGAACAACTACTGGAACACAACAGGAACCACAACCCACAGGAACTACTACTGGTACTACTACTGGAACAACAACAGGCACAACCACAGGAACTACTACTGGTACTACTACTGGAACAACCACAGGAACTACTACTGGTACTACAACTGGAACAACCACAGGAACAACAACTGGAACAACCACAGGAACCACTACTGGTACTACCACTGGTACTACCACTGGAACAACAACAGGCACAACAACAGGAACCACTACTGGTACAACTACTGGAACAACAACAGGAACTACTACTGGTACTACTACTGGAACAACCACAGGAACTACTACTGGTACTACTACTGGAACAACAACTGGAACAACCACAGGAACCACTACTGGTACTACCACTGGTACTACTACTGGTACTACTACAGGAACAACAACAGGTAGAATGTTTGTTAATAAGATTTGGAATTTTTGGGTGCCGACTGATTTTTTTGTTTTTTTTAATTTTCAGGAGTTTGTGTGTTCACTTCGCAAGATGTGATAGAGCAGTTAAAAATCAGCCCTGTTGATGGTATTGCTATTGGATGGATTGAAAAAGACGATATTACTGGTTTGCTAGTATTTTTTGTGTGAAATTTTTTCCATTGTTTTGTCTTTCAGGTTTGTCTTTAGAGAGTGAAAAAGTTTATGTTGGAGACACAATTGCATCAGGTGTTGTAGTTCATGTGAAGTGTAGTAACTGGTGAGTGTTGAGTTGATGGAATTTTTTTTGTTTAACATTTTTTTTATCACAATCCAGTTCTTGCGATGAAAACTCTAACATTGTTTGTAATGTTGAAGAGTGCTCAACAGATTGTTCATGGAAAAACTGGGAAGAATGGACTGTTTGCTCAAAGACATGTGGTGGTGGCACAAGACAGAGAACTAGATCTATGATTCCTCAAACTGGCAAAGGTGCAGAATGTTATGGAAATAGTACAGAGGTTGAATGGTGTAATACTGATGGATGCCCTGTTGACTGTAATTGGTCTTTATGGAGCCCCTGGTCAAACTGTACTGTTGATTGTGATGGAGGTGAAAGTAGAAGAGAAAGGAAACCTAACAATCCACCTGCAAGTAATGGAGGTAAAGAATGTCAAGGCTCAGATTTTGAAGTGAAAGGATGTAATGAAGATAAATGTGGTGAAGAATGCACAAATGGAAAAGTTTGGGTTGATGATTGTGAAGCCTATCCTCATTGCCCGCTAACTTGTTCTGATTTAGCTAATCCCAGTGCCTGTGTTGAACCTGAGATCTGTACACCAAGTTGTAGATGCATTAATGGAACTGTCATGAATGATGAAGGACAATGTGTGGAACACTCTGAATGTGGATGTACAGTAAATGGTCAAGTCTACATGCCTGGAGAAATTGTTGACACAGGAAATGATTGTGAGACATGGTGAGAATGTTTTTTTAGATCTCCATATGTTATGATGTAATTTATAACTTTTGCTCTAGTGAATGTAAGGAAGGACAGCTTAAATGTACTCCCAGAGACTGTCACTGTGTATGGAAAGATTGGTCTGAATGGAGTGAATGCAGTGTAACATGTGGAAGTGGTAAGAGATACCGAACAAGAGGTAAGATTAATCCTGACAAGCCTGGTTGTAGTGGAGATGACACAGAATATGAGGACTGTAATAAACCTCCATGCTATAATTGTAAAGATTTCACTGGTAAACTCTATTATGATAAAGAAATTGTGAATTCCACTCTTTGTGAAGAATGCCAATGTGATTATGATAAGATTGTTTGTACATTAAAGGAAGACAAAATTAGTAAGTTTTTAAAGTTTCTCCATAAATTTTGATTTTTCAATATAATTAAAAAACTATTGAAAATGTTTATAGTTGAGGGTAAATGGGGAGACTGGGGAGATTGGACTGCCTGTACAAAAGATTGTGATGGTGGTATAAGACATAGAACAAGATCTTGCAATAATCCTGCACCACAATGTAATGGAAAGGATTGCGAAGGAAAACATTCAGAAACTGAAAGTTGCAATGAGGATATCACATGTACTTCTCATACTACAACCACACCAACCCCACCATCAACAACAGTTGTATGTGGAGAAAATGAGGAAATAGCCACTACCAATAAGTGCGAATTCTCTTGTACTGCTCCAGGTTTAGTAAATGGAACCTGCCCATATGTTGTTGACCCATACACATGTGTTTGTGCTGATGGATTTTATAGAGATAGCCTTGGAAGATGTGTCAAATATTCAAACTGCAGCAACTGTATAGTAGATGGAGAGGTAAGCAATGTTGTCAAATTATTAAAAATTATTAATACAATCTCTTTACTAATTAAAGATCAAAGATCAATGGCCAGATGCAGAAGACAAATGTATATATTACAAATGCGTGGCAAATGAAGCTGTGACATACAATAGATCAGATGAATGCTATTGTAAACCTGTAAATATCCTAAATTATGATATCTGCTTCTTTTAGCTAAGTTTTTTTTATCTTTAGGATGAAACAAAGATCATTAATTCCACACATTGTTGCTTGTGCGAACCTAAACCAAGTAAGATTAATATACAGTTGTCAATTGAGTTATTAATTGACTTGTTGTAGTCCCAGGTTCACAGTGTCAGCAAAAGAAAGAAACAAAAGTATTAGAAGTAAATGACCCAGAAAATGAAAATATCCAATGCAAAACACCTGGAGAAGTAACTCTAAGTTATTGTGAAGGATCCTGTGATTCTAATGACCGACCTACATTTTTCTATCAAAACAAAGAGCTTTATCATGAGAAACACTGTAAATGTTGCTCTGGTGAAGGGGAGCGTAAAAAAATCACATTTGATTGTCAAGGTACACCTAGAGAGTTTGAGATTATATATTTCAACAATTGTCAGTGCAATAATTGTGCAGGTAAGCATAAATATAAATTATTTCTTTTGTGTTTTACTAATTAAATTTATGATAAAGGAACTACTGAAGGTAATACAAATGAAAACAATATTGTTAACAATGAGGGAGACAACACCATTCCTGGTGGAGATTTAGGTCTACCTGGTAATGGTAACGAACTACCCCCACTTCCTGGTGATGATACAGGAGGATTAGAACTTCCTGGCGCACTTTTTAAATAAATTTTGGTCACTTTTGAAAATTAACTATGGGATTCTTTGGGATAAAAAGCAAACATTTTTTTGTTATATGTTTTATTTTATTTAATTTCACATGGATTTTGATTAGGACTGAATAAGGTTTTTGAGTGGTCTATGCTAAATTGTTGATTAATTAATCAACTTTTGCAAATAAACTATTTGGATAAATAACTTTTTTAAAAATATTAAATTTTAATTATCTTCGAACTACTAATGAGCTTGTGAAGTTTTGGCAAGTTTAACCTCAAATGAAATGAATTAATGTTGTACATATTTATAGGCTCAATGTAAAGAAACTTGCTTTGTTTAATTTCCTGTTCTCAATAGCTACTCTAATTTTATAACTTAAAAATATGTGCCAGCCAAAACACTTGTTGCCTGAACAGAAACAAGTTCTCTTTTTCCCAAGAATACAATACAAAAAAAAGAAAACATTTCTCATCCATTCTTTTCTAGCTAAGACACTTTGGGTAAATATTACAAGTACTTAACTATATCATTCAATAAAATGGTAAATAGAATAAATAGAACAAATTTAAAAATTCTCCAATATTATAAAGAGCATAATAGTTTATTTTTAACTAAAATTTTTATGAAAGATACTCTATAAACAACAAAGAAATACATAAATTACAGATGTGTCATAAAACTTGAAAGGCAAAAACAGCAAACAATAGATTAAAAATGATTAAAATATATGCAAGGCGGCACTACATGGATAGCAGGTGCTTTTGAATGGAAAAATCTTTTAAAGCACTTTTAAATATAAAACTTCAAGCTGTAAACCTCAATAATTTCAGAACTAGAGACTTCTGCGTCTCTGGCTCTTATTAGACTATTTATATTACTTAAATAAGATTCCTTATTAAGGTTAGAATATGTTGGATATTCTTCATTTAAAATTGATCATCTGTACTCTGATTATTCTTTTCAATATTGTTAAGGGGTAAGATGTTCAATTTTTTTTTATTTTTACTAATGAGTTTGACTTAAATAGAGAGAAACATTTTTGTCCTGATTTTAAAACTACTAAGAAAACAGAAACAGCACCTTGTTCTGATTTCTTTGATCGAGTTCTAAAAAGATGGATTTTAGATCAGAATGGGAGTAACCTTGGCAATTTAACTGCTAAAGAGGCTCAATCTAAAATTAATGAATGGAGTAACTCTCCAGATAAAACAAGAATGTGTCAATACAACAGGTTTAATTGTAATTACTTAAAGAGTGAGTAGCCAAAAATTATATTTACAGAGAATATCGGGAACCCATTGAGAAGTGTTGCCAAGGTTGGAAAGGGGATGATTGCTCTATGCCACTTTGCAATCCACCATGTCTTAATGGTATATGTACAGCACCTAAAACATGCCAATGTGAGCAAGGATATAGTGGCATTGCTTGTGATCAACAAAAAGACCTTATTACAGAGAATATGAAATACTGCTTTTCAACACTAGATTGTTCTGGAAAAGTTTCATCTACAGACCCAATAAATAAAGAAAGCTGTTGTGGGGCCTCTGGTTCTACATGGGGTATCACTGGTGGTGCTTGTTTAAGCTGTAATGGAGATATAGTGTCCAGTTCTGATCCAACTAAACCAGCAATTGTAAAGCAAAAATATAATATTGGATTTCACACTTGCATGAATTATGCAGGAAAAGTTTTCAGAACTTTTGATGGACTACAATATCTCTTTGAAGGTTTCTGCGAGTATACAGTTTACAGTGATGCAACCAAAACTGTTACAACTAAAATCATTGACTGTGACGAACTTGAAACTTGTCATCAAAATTTAACATTTATTTTAAATACCAGAACCACTGTGGAGGCATCTGGTCATAATATCTTTGTCAATGGGAAGCAGATTTCTATTTCTCATTCTGGGAAACAATCATTATCAAGTCAGTAAAAATTTAATACATTATGCATTTTTTAATATCTTCTAAATTAGATGTTAAGTTTGAGTGGATTGGTGATTATATCTTCTTGGAATATGCTGAGCTAAGGGCAAAATGGTTGATTGATGGCTCATCTACCTGGTTTATCTCTATAGATGATGCCAAGAGTCCAAGAAATTCGCAAATTCAGGGAATATGTGGTAATTTTGATGGTGACGCATTGAATGATATGAGACAAAAAAATGGTCAAATAGCTGTATATCCTGCTGCCATGGCCAATTCATTTTCAATTAGGGATTTGTCTAGTAAAGTAAGATAAAGAGTTAAATACAATGTACTTTACAATAAACTTTTATTTTTATCTCTAGGGAGAAGTTGTAAGTTTTTTTCTGAATTCTTTACTTTAAATTTTTCATTCAAATTATTTTAGTGTCCTGATGCTCCAAGTACAACATTTGAATGTAAAAATGATGGTATACTGGAGGAAGCTAAAGAAAAGTGCAATAGCTTCAAAAAATTTCCAATGTCAGTTTGTCAAGAAAGTGTGGATGCGCGTATTTACATAAGCTTGTGCATTCATGATTTTTGTAAATTATCAAAAAAATCCAAGAAAGAAATAAGTGTTGAAAAAATGCTCTGCTTTTATATGGAAATGTACACTTATGAATGTGCTATTCATGGTGTAATAATTGACAATGTGAAGCAAAATATTTGCCGTAATTATAAATAATATCAAAATATTTAGTTCGAATTTTAAGAAAACTTTTCTGTACAGCAAGAAAATGTCCAGCAAATATGACTTATAAATCATGTGTTCCACAATGTCAGAAAACTTGCAAAAGTCTTTACACCTTCACATCAGATAAAATGTGTCAGAATGAATGTGTTCCTGGTTGCCAATGTGAAGATGGCACTTACTTTGATGCAGAATCTGAAAAGTGTGTGAAACCTGAAAATTGTTCTTGTCACTTTCAAGCTAAACGTTACCATCCTGGAGATAAAGTCAAAGTTGACTGCAATGAATGTCAATGTGAGAATGGAAGGTGGATATGTGAACAAAATCCATGTCCTAAAGAGTGTTCAGTTATTGGCTATCAGCATTTCCAAACTTTTGATGGAGATCTCTATGATTTACGAGGAGATGATTGTGAATATACTTTAGTTGAGACTGAAACTGGTGAAAGTGGCAAGCACAATATTAAAGTAAAATATGAAATTGAAGATTGTACAGATATGGTTGTTCTCTGTACCACTGCTATTATTGTTGAGTATCAAAATAATACTGTAAAAGTACAAAAAGAGAGAGATAGGTATAAAATTAATTGAAAATTTAATAACTATTATAATGAATATTTTAAACAATTAGACCACTGAAACTTATATTTAATAATAAAGTTATGTCCAACTTGGAAAGGAATCCAATTATGATGGAGAGTTTTGTTGTTAAACAAGTGACAAGCCTGTTTACAGTTCTTCAGGGATTTGGTTTTTCAATTGATTTTGATGCCAATGGGCGAGTGTATATTTACCTTTCACCATATTTTATTGGTAAAGTGAAAGGGCTATGTGGTAATATGAATGGCTCACCAAAAGATGATCGTCAAAGTAAAGCAAATGGTCCACACTCAAATCTAATCGAATTTTCTGAATCTTATAGACAACTATCTTGTAAATCTCTTAAGAGAAAGAAGGCAGGAGAGGTTATAGATCCCTGTACTACTCAATCAAGAGTAAGTTTTAGTAAAGTTATTGAAAAAGAATTCTTTTTTATTATTTTTTGTTATTTAAGAGAGCTGACTCAGCACAAAAGATATGTAAAATTTTAGTTGATGAGAAAGATGTTTTTGCACCATGCTTGGATTATATAGATGGCAGTTACTATCAAGAGATGTGTGAATATGACTTGTGTGCTAGTGATGCAGCCTTTGGTTACAAATCATTGTGTGTTGTGGTAACTGCAATGGCAAAAAAATGCTTAGAAAAAGGAATAAAAATAGAATGGAAACGAAATGATCTTCTAGCCACAAAATGCTCAGACTCTTCTTATAAATGCTCAAATGATAAATTATACAGGGAATGTTCTTCATCAGCTGTAAATTGCCGAGATGGCAAAAATCCTTTGGCACATAATGAAGAACGTTGCTATGCAGGATGTTCATGTCCAAGTGGGCAGAGGATGGATGCTGAAAATAGATGTGTCAGCATAGAAAAGTGTACATGCTATGATGAGAGTGACAAATCATCCCCTTATAAGAAATCTGGTACAGTTATTAAAAAGCACTGTAAGGATTGTATCTGTGTAAATGGCTCTTGGGAGTGTAAGGAGGCAGATTGCTCTTTTAAAAATTGTGAAAAAAATCAAATCTGGAAGGAAAATGCTGTAACATGTGGTGTTTCTTGCTCTGATTACTCCTTTAAAGACCAATGTGGTGATCTTGAATATTATACAGGTTGCGCATGTCCAGATGGTCTTCTTCTCAGCCCCGATAAAAGTTGTGTTAAACCAGAAACTTGTCCCTGTCTTCATAATGGGCAGTTATACAACAAAACTGATATCCTACATGATGGCTGTAGTTATTATGCATGCATTGGTGGATTATGGAAAAAAACAGCAACTGATGATGAAGATTGTCAAGGTATATGCAAAGCCAGCGGTGATCCTCACTATTTAACTTTTGATGGTAAATGGTACAGTTTCCAGGGTCCTTGCACTTATTATCTTGTACAGCATAAAGAAATATCAATTATTGGGGAAAATGTACCTTGTGGGACTACAGGGGCTACATGCACTAAAAGCATTAAAGTTATTACAGGAAGAATGATAATTCATTTGATACATGGTGCTGATGTATATATTAATAATGTAACAGTTGATGTTACAAATCCAATTGCTTTTGACAATTTAAAAATTGGTGAGATTGGATCATTTACAAGTATTTATTTTTCAAAGTTGAAAGTGACAATACTGTGGGATAAGCATACTAGAGTTTACATATACATGAATCAAATGTACAAAGGCCAAGTCAAAGGTTTATGTGGAAATTATGATGATGATTCAGAAAATGATTTTGGTGAAAGTCAAAATTCATTTGAGTTTGGAAGCACATGGGAGGTTAGCGGAACCTGTAGTGGATCACCTCCAGAAGCTCATCCCTGTAAATTGCATCCCGAGAGATTTGAATGGGCCAAGAGCATATGTAGAGTGATAAAGGAAGGACCTGTCTTTGCAAAATGTCGCCAATCTGTTCCAAATTATGAACTTTTCTATAAGGATTGCCTCTGGGATGCTTGTGGATGCAATACAGGAGGAGACTATGAATGTGTTTGTGCATCAATAGCCAACTTTGCTGATGAGTGTAATAGAAGAGCAATCCCTTCCAAATGGAGAAGCCAACATTTATGTCCTATTATGTGTACTGGAAATTCAGAATATCGAGAATGTGGTCCATCTTGTCCGCAAACATGTAAAAATATAGGTGATGAAAAGGATAAATATTGTGATCATGGTCCATGTGTAGAGGGATGTTACTGTAAGGAAGGTTATATACTTCATAATGCAAAATGCATACCTGCTGCAGATTGCTCATGTTACTATAAGGAAACAGCTTATCCAAAGGGATCTCTCTTAAGAAAAAACTGCCAAAACTGTACTTGTATAAATGGGCTATTTAATTGTGTTGGAGATATGTGTAATATCACTTGCAAAGCAAATGAGCAAAAATGCAAAACAGCAGAGAAGTGCATTTTAAAAGATTTTGTTTGTGATGGTATGTATGATTGTCCAGATCTCAGTGATGAGTCGAATTGTAAGTGTTTTAACAAATTCCGAATGCTCAAATTGTTCATTTTTACATATTTTATATATAGGTAAAAAAAAATGTCTTCCTACGGAATTTTCATGTTTCATGGGTAAAAAATGCATTTCCATGAATTACATATGTGATGGAAAAAACGATTGCTTAGACAATAGTGATGAAACTGGATGCAGTAAGATTTCCTCTTTCCATGATGTTAACTTAAGTGGTATTTTAATAAACTATGCTTTGCAGAACCCCCAAAATGTGAAAAGACAGAATTTCAGTGTGCAAATGGCAGGTGTATTGATGAAACTTTTAGATGTGATGGATATCCAGATTGTGGTTTAGGTGACAAATCTGACGAAGTCAACTGTACTAATCAATGCAAGGGTGATAAGCATTTTCTGTGTGATAATGGAGAATGCATACCTTCCATTGCTAGATGCGATTTGCATAGTGATTGTGGAGATGGAAGTGATGAAAAAGATTGTTGGACAACTAGTCTGCCCAATGTTACAGAAGTAATAACTACAACCCCAGCGCCAACACACACCTCAACTTTCAATGCTACAACATTCTCTCCTCTCTGTCAATCAGGAGAAAATCCTGTTAGCTACAATTACAATAATAAAATTATGAATATTATAAGAGACCCAGAGGGAAAGCATGATGTTGAAAGTGGTTTGTTAGGATCAGGAGCAACATGGGTAGATTTAATGAATTTGAAAAAACATACATTTACTATCACACCAAAGGAACCAACCTTCAATATACTACTTAGAATTGAATTTGCAGTTAAGAATGTGAAAAGTGTCAAAGTAAAATTTTATTGCCCTGATGAAAAAGTTGAAGAAACAGATCCTGTGGTAATCATAATACAAGATTAAATAGACAATCTAATAAAAAATATATTATGTGAACTTTTAGATTCCTGAAATTAGTTCAGAATTTACAAGATTCTATAAAAATTTTGATCACCCTGGTTATAAATATGATAAAATTGAATTATATTTTGAGGTAGAAGAAAGTTCACCACTAGAAATAAAGGATCTTAATTTAATACTCTGTTCAGAAATTTGTGAGTACAGTAAAAAGAAAATTTAGAAACTATTGTTGATTATATAACAATGTTTTAACAGTATCATCAACAGCTTCCACTCTAAGTGGTAATAGACATTAAGTAAATGCAAAAAATAAATATTAATTATCAGTTTTTTGTAGCAACTACAATGGTACAAGAAACCACAGCATCAACAGGTTGTACTGTAAACTATTTCACTCATACGTACTAATAACCAATTCTAAATAATTTACAATAGAGTGTCAGGGTGGCACCAATATAGTTTTTGATTACTATAATCAACAAAAGATGGTACTTCAAAGTTCCAGTTACCCAAAAAGAGATTTGTCTTCAGTATTGAAAGGGTCAAATAAAAGTTATACAGAAGAGGGTTATCAAGTGCAACTAACTATAACACCAAAAGATAGAGATGGGTCTTATATGGTAAAGAGACTGAGAGTAAAATTTAGAAATGTTGCTTATTATCAAATTGAACTTTATACAAACAATAATTCAATTGTTAGAAGCCATAATGTAGGTATAGGTAATTTTTAGAAGGAGCTATTAAAAAACCAAATTAAAATTTAGATTGAGGTTTTTGGAGTTGAAGGAAGTTTTGATGAAATAGGACATGGTGTTGAAATAAATCATATAAATATATATTTCACAAAAAGACCTGGAATAAATAATGATGTAGATCTATTTGAGTTTTCTTCTGAAATGTGCTTCAATGAACTCAGTAAACCAAGCATTTACACATTTTCAGTAATTAAATGCATTTCTTTATGATAAATTACATTTCAGTGACCACAACATCACAAATCACTCTGCCATCTTCAACAGCTGCTAATCCATTGTGTGAAGACAGCAGCCCTGCAAAAACTTTTGACTATAACAATCAAA